AACAAGCCCAGTTCCTCCTCTATATAGCATCTGTCCATCTATATTCTGTTCAAGGAAGTCTCTGTGTTTCTCCTAATTACTTTGATTGCCCACTACCATACCAGTCATTAGAGGTCACATCGTATTTGTGGACCATGTCAATTTCAGCCTTAATGTTCATATGAAGAGACAGAGAGTTTTAAATAGCAATTAGAATAGGAACTAGTTGCTCATAGGAAAGAACAGTATGTTTTAAAAGTAAATAATAAATAAAGTAAATAATAAATAATAAAAGTAAATAATAAAACAATAAGGCTGGAGGGAAATGAAAGATGATGATGATGATGATGATGATGATGATGATGATGATGATGATGATGATAATAATAAAAGTAAAGTAAATATATTCATTTCTACCGTAGCAATTATTCCTAACATTGACAATTGCAAGTTTTTCCCTTTTTCCAGGACCAGTTTTATTTGATTCAGTAATTTTATATAATTATCTTCTTTTATCGTTGAACATATTCCCAAGTATTTAACCTTTTTGACTATTTGTAGTTCTATTTTTTCTGACATTTGTTTTTGTGTTTTTTTGTTTATCTGTAAGATTTTTAACTATCACTTTAGTTTTTTCTCAGTTTATTTTCAGTCCTGCAATCTCTCCATACTGTTCTATCTTTTCCAATAATTTAGAGATCATCACTAAAGGTTCCTCTAGAATGAATACCAAGACATCTGCAAATGCTTGCAGTTTATAGGTTTCACCTTTTATTTCTAGTCCTTTAGTTTCTGTGTCTTGTCTAATATTTCTATTTATAACTTCCAAAGCTAGGATAAATAACAATGGAAATAGTGGACATCCTTGTCTTGTACCTTTTCTTTTATCAAAGTTCTCTGTATAGTCTCCATTTACAATCACTTTTGCTGTTTGTGATATATTGTTTAAATCATATTTATAAAATTTTGTCCAAAGTCCATTGTTTTTAGTTGTTGAGTCATTAATTGCCAGGAAACATTATCAGATGCCTTTTGAGCATCTAGAAATACTAGTGCCAGTTGTTTTCCTGGATGCATTTCATAATATTCCAATATGTCCATTATAACTCTTCAGTTATTTTTGATTTGTCTCTTTGGTAGAAATCCATTTTGATCCAGGTGTATAAATTCAGTTAGAAATCTTTTCAATCTCTCTGCTATTATTGAAGTAAAAAGTTTATAGTCCACATTTAGTAGTGATAGCGGTCTGTAATTTTTTATCTGTGTCAAATCTGAGTCTTCTTTTGGTATTAAAGTAATATTTGCTTCTTTCCATGTATTTGGGAGTTTAGCCTCCAACAAAAGTTCATTACACCCATCTTTCAACGGTGCCCTTAGTGTATCTTATAGACATTTATACAACTCTGCCAGTAGTCCATCTGGTCCCAGTGTTTTGTTTTGGTTTTTTTTTTTTTTTTTTTTTGTCTTCTTATAGTCTCTCTCAATTCCATCATTGTTATTTTTTCATTTCACATAGTTTTGAAGTTTTCTTAGACTTTTGGTAAATTATTTTTTCCCATATATTGAATCAGTTTCTCCCATGAAATTTCTTCTATATCATACAGTTTCTCATAATATTCTTTAATTATCTTTTTTATTTCTTCATTCTTAAATTGTAAACAGCCTTTTTCGTCTACTAAATTGTTTATCTTTTTTTTCTCCTTCTGTTTTTTAAGTTTGTAGGCTAACCATCTTCCTGGTTTGTTTTGTGTGTTTTCAAAAAAGTTTTGTTTTGCTTTTTTAATTTGCTGTGCCAATTTTTCTGATTCCATTAAATTTAATTTGTTTTATTATTTCCATTCTAATTCTAGTTTTTTTTAATTCTTTTCTTAACAGTATATATTGTTGTCTTCTGTCTTTATTTTTTTCACCATATATGTTATAGCTACACCTCTAAAATATGCTTTGGCTGTATCCCATACATTTTGTAATGTTGTATCTTCTTTTTCATTTTCTTTAAAGAAGAACTTCATTTCTTTTGTTGCTAATCCTATAAATACTTTTTCTTATAATACGGATTGGTTTAAGGTCAATCTTAGTTGTTTTTTTATTATTATTCCTTTCCACATCATTTTTAAAGGGTTATGGTCTGCCCATGTGCCTAATTCTATCTCTATCTCCTGGATACTGGTTCTTAATTCAGGCATTATCCAAATCATGTCAATTCTGTCCACCTCAACCCAGTGACTTTGGGCAAACAACAGTCATAAAAACATTTAAGTAAAGAAATTAACCACAAATAGCAGCCAAGATTTATTACAATCCAGCAGTGTCAGCATAACCAGGAAAGGGGGCTCTTCACACATTCAGGATTTCAGGCCCAGGTACATAGCCAGGACTTCAAGCCCTTCCTGAAGGCCAGCACGGTCAGATCCATCCTCATCTCAGGAAGGAGGGTGCTCCAGAAGAGAGACACTATAGGAGAAAAGACAAGCCTCCTGGTCCCTGCCAGCTGACATTCCTTGGCTGACAAAACCCAGAGGATACCCATCCTGCCGGGCCAGGTTAAACAGGTAGGAACACATGGAAATTGATGGATCCTCGGGTAATGCAATTACAAGTCCGAAGGCGATGTGGTATAATCCTTGAAGCAGTCACCTTTGGGAGTTACCATAATTCCTTGCCTTCATTCCAGTACAGTATAGGCAACCCAGTTCCAAGGCTTGAAGCCTTTGCAGTGTCATCCCAGAAGTACATGCCATTTCAGAGCCACCACAAGTACTTGCCCTTGTTTCAAAATTGGTGGCTGCTTCCAGTACAGTACCATGCCGTTTCTACCATTTAAGGAGGCTGCTCTGCCCCTATTTTAAATTTATCTGCTATAAAAAAAGGAGGGAAAGGAAATGGCTGTGCTGGGAGTTGAGCAGTCAGCCTTTAAAGGAAAAAATATCTGTGTAGGTACAATGAAATGTACAGGTACTATGTAGGTGTAGTGAAATGGAGTCTAGGAGTGCTCATAGGGCCTGGTCGTTGGGACTGTATTACTTTTTTTCTGGAGTTTCCTCTTAGTCCTCATTTAATGATGGCAACTGTGACTGTCAGAACTGCCACTAAAAGGTGCTGTGGTCACATGATGTTTCACTGTATGACCATATCAATTAGAATGGGCAATTTTCATCTCAGTTGCCATTACAAACTAAGAACTACCCACAGACTCAACCAATTACATTGTTCATGCCAGGAGAAGCAACTGGTTGTTCCTTATTGTGAGGAGATTTGGGGAGGCAAAGCAGGGAAACTCTGTTTTTTGGTGATGGGGCCAGAACTGTTTGCCTCTGACATTGCCTGCCTTCCAGAAAAGAAGATGTATTGAACCCTTGTGCTCATAATCAAGCTATGCCTTTAGAAACAAAACTTTTGATTTGCTTATCACATCAAACAGCAGATGATAGAGTTTCATATTTGAGTACATTTCAATGGGATTGAGTCCCTGGTTATAGATAAAGATAACCAAGGCAGATCTTGGGGAAGATTCTAGTGCCTATTTATTTATTTATTTATTTATTTATTTATTTATTTATTTATTTATGAGACTTATATACCGCTTTAAGTGCAAGCACTCTCTAAGCGGTGTACACCAGTAAGCAATGTATATATATATTTACATTGCCCCCAACAATCTGGGTCCTCATTTTACCTACCCCGGAAGGATGGAAGGCTGAGTCAACCTTGAGCCGGTGAGATTTGAACTGTATGCAGAAATGCTTATGCTATTATGAGAAAAGTTCTCTTGATTTAGCTGATTACAGTAACCAGTATTTAATACATACCAATATGTGTGTAACTGATTATTAATTAATTTCTCATGAAGTTAAAAATAAAATAATGAAGTATGTAAAATGGGATTGATGTGTTTATTTCAAAAGGATAACATGGAAAGATAATTGAAAAGATAGTTTGAAAAATTGTCTGTCTCCATTTTTCCCACCTCTAGTTAAAATAGGCATAGTGGGAACACTCTGAGACTTCACCATTAAACAAGATCATCCTGGAAGCATACCTTCTCAGTTGTGGCATTTAAGATAGGTAAAATATTCTGCTGGAGAGTCTTACAGAATACCATAAATTTCACAAGGACAAGATTCAATTTAAACATTAATTTGTTTGTTCAAAGAGAAGGACAGGGCTACCTATAATAATGCTTTCTTCTCTAGCTATACAGAATAGATCTTATTCATATTTCTTGCAGAAAAAGAATATTTCTGTAAATTTTGTCATTGGAGGCATAGTGGGATGGGAACTTGAGAGGGCAAATGCATTGGAGAATGGGGTAAAGTTAGAAAGTGAAGTTATTCACTTTATAACTGTAATCCATCCTTCTTTTTAATGACACAGAAGACAGGACCTATTTCCATAATTAGTATAAATTGTGACAAAATGATTATTTGCTATTAATAGCAATAGCAATCGCACTTAGACTTGTATATCGCTTCACAATAGGGTACAGACCTCTCTAAGTTGTTTACAGAGTCAGCATATTACCCCCAACAATCTAGCTCCTCATTTTACTGACCTCGGAAGGATGAAAGGAGGAATCAACACTGAGCAAGTGAGAATCGAATTGCTGATCTGCTGGCAGACGGCAGTCAGTAGAAGTAGCCTGCAGTACTGCATTTTAACCCCTGCGCCATCATGGCTCTTATTAGATTGAGTTGCCGAATGGTAACTCCTTCCTCTGTAAGACAGGAGAGCACAGGACCAGGTGGTCCTCTCTCCCCGATTTAGCCATCCCTCATAGGTGAGGGTTTACTCCTTCTAATGGGGGAGGGAATGAGGGTATATCAAGTGGACCCTAATTTGCAATAAGAGGCAAAGAAATAATTGTTACCATTCTATGAAAGTATTTTTTGTTGTTTCTTAATTTTTAATTCTGCCTGTATGGAGATTGATTATTTTCTTGAATGTATTATCCCAAATACTTGGCTTTCTTCAAGTATGAACAACAACCTTATTTAAAAAAAAATCTAGTATGGCAGAAACGCTTGGAGAGATAATGCTTTGCTTTGTTTATTGATTAATCCACCAAAGACATTAAACAGAGCAAAAGGGCAGAAGCAGACGAAGAACATTACGTTTTCTGAGGATGGTAATGATCAAGACATGAAGATGTTGAGATATCCTTAATAAATCTTCCTTAGTCTTCTGCATTTTAAGATTTCAACATATTCCAATGCGTACCAGCCGAAGTCTTCTTCCACTGCGACTGATGGGAGAACAGACCCAAAAATTAAATTAAAAATCCACAGAGATACATCTACTATCGTGGCTCAGCCACCCAAAAGATTGTAATAGTCAGCATGTTTACTGAGGATTGTCTAAAAGTGACAAGTTCCCTCTCCCATTAAAATTAGCTAAATATTCTCCTTGGAACCACCATGCAACTTATTTGTGACAAAAATGCTTTCTGGGTGAATACTTGAAAGGAGCATAAGTTTGCACACTTCTTTTTTGAAGCCTAGATATCCATGGTTCCCTATCCAAATGTTTCTTTTCCAGCTGCAGAGAGTGGAACATGTACTTACATATAAGCATTGCAGAAAAGACACTTGCTTCCATAAGTCTTGCCATCAGAGCCACAGACGGGTTCGAATTCCAGGGTGCAGATGGAAGTTGGATATCCCTGACAATAACACTACGAGATAAAGCAAATGATTTATTTCACATGACTACCCTGCCCATCCTTTTAAGGGGAAAGGTCAGAGGATAATTTGAATAACTTGGATCAAAATGATTCTGGGTTTTTTATCCTGTTAATTTTTAATTCTTTCTTCTAAAAAGTTTTTTTTTCAGTTCCTTGTCTTATTGTACATCAGCAATGCCGGAAAATGGATTTGGTATGGTTAGGAATTGTATTATATAATCTTCATATTGCTCTTTAGATCTGTCCCCAAAGTAAAAGTACGTATGTGTGTAAGATACACCGAAACAAACAGCTCCGTAACAGTAACATAAAATGTTGGTTAGTTTGTTATATTTTAGATTTTGCAGTGCATATGATTTGAATTGTGTGCTGTGCCTTAAAGGGAATGATAGAGGGAGAGGGAGTGGATAAAAGCAGAACACCTGGCCTGATGGGGGAGGTTGAAAGAAAGCTGCCAGAATAATTGCTCTAAGTCTTATTGTATCTGAGGATACAAGATGTTGGCAACAAAGTTTGTGGTAGTAGCGAGGGACAGGCATGAGGTTATTATGCATTCACATTTTTGGGTCCTACACAGTGATTTCATTGAATAACTAAAATTTGGTACTCACCTCTAAATCAACAGTTTGGGCCATAATATCTGAAAAAAATATATATACCAAATGTGAACATTTGAGACAGTTCCGTATCATCTCCTACCTGCTTCTGTTATATCTGAAAGCACCATTTTATTACAACTATTGGGACTGCTGAGCATTGGTGTATATAGCAGGACTTCATCACCTCCCCAAATGGAAGGTGGTCATGTCATCCCTGACTTGACTAAAAGTAAACAAAAACAAAAACAAAACCAATGTAACGGACTCTCTTCCTCACAATGCCTGAACTACTTTATGAAAAGCTGTGCTTGCTCTCTGATCTGCATCAGACCTCTTAGAAACTATGAGTCACACACATCCCTGGTTTAGAAGACGATCTTCCAGAGAAATAGTCAATTCTGCACTAATAGCCTCCATGTTTTATTGCTTCTTGTGCTGATTCCCCTGAACAAGAATTATTTCCCACTCTAACAACCTTGAGGATATCTTTGCATTTTTGTCCTTTTTCCCAGATGATAAAGGTCTCCTCAAATCTCTCAGAAAAGTTTGAGTAGTAAACAGAACTTACTGGAGTACAAGAAGAAGAGCAGCAGAGTGAGCAGCAGAAAGCTTCCTGGCTTCATGATTGCTTCACTGAACTTGGCTGAACTTGATTGAAGTTGAACTCTTTGGAGCAGTAGATGCTGAAGGTGAGGCCTCAAAGCTTTCCCCTGTCCTTCCAGGCTATATATGCATATCCTGACCACTTTGGTGATGAAATCTCTCCCTTCAGGATGCAAATGGATGTGAAATTGGCCTGTTGCTGAAATATGTGGCAAGCCCATCAGTTTGTAAAGCTCCTTTTACATAATTAACCCACGATTCACAAAGCACCTTTCTTCTGACTAAAATATTTTCAAATCTTTGCATGAAAACGAAGAACCACAGTGCTCTGGGACGTTAGATTCAAATAGACAAGCATCTGCCACATAACAGACTTGACAATTGTCGATAAGAAAGACAAAAAAAAGTCTGGATAGTGGATGTGGCAGCAGAATAGAAGATAAAGAATTGGAGAAGATAACAAAATACAAAAACTTAGAAATAGAATGTCTCCGGCAAAAGAAAGCAAAATTAGTACCAATAATAATAGGTCCCTTGGGTGCAATCCCAAAAGAACTGGAGCACCACTTGAACAACATCGGCATTAACAAAATCACTATTGGTGACTTCCGGTTTGCCATCACAGTCGCCGCGGATGCTGGAAGGCAAGCTCCATCTTCGGTGTCTGATTTCGCTCCACTGGGAAACCCTGGAAAGGTTTGAAAGTCGCCCTGTAGGGGCGACGAGCAAGGAGGGGATCCCCGCTTGATCACAGGAGGGCGGCAGCCTTTCCGCTCGATTCAGGGCAGCGCTCCAAACTGATGGAGGAAAGACCGGCCATAGTAATATGGCCTGGCACTAGGCTGCAGACAGCCCAAGTCAAACTTACCACCAAGCACTTTGAAAGCAACGCAGATGAAACTGGGTGAGATCTGATCTTCTTTTTACTCTAAGTACTTTCTCTTCCTGTACAAGCTGCCTGAAGTATCTTTCCCCCTGTGAGGAGAGAGGGAAGAGAACTTCTATCCCAATCTCTATGAATAGCGGCATCTGACTACATAAGGGAATTAAAACATTAAAAGAACAACGTTAATAGCTGAAACCTGGGGACCAAAAATTTTCCTATTTTTATAGGAGATTCTTGTTTTTATCTACAAAAAAGAAATAAAATTGGAAAAAGGATTATAAAAAAATTTGGACTTAAAAAACCTTAAATGGCATCGATGACATCTTGTGACTAAGTTTGGTATTACAACGTCTTATTTCCTCAAAGAGACTTGGCTTGAAGCACAGACCTTAGATAAGACTTTTCTGACCTTGGCACTACCTGTGAGAGATTTAGCTGTAAAAAAACAGCTGGGCAGCATAACTTGAACTGTGAATGTAAATCTTTATTAACTTTCAGAGTTATTTGTGGGAAATTGCTTTCTTAACTCTTTATTTGAGGAATATTGGTCACTATATGAGATGTTGAAATACTTTGGACTATAAAGTCTTGCTTGACAAATGACTTCTACTAGAAAGACTATTTATAAACATGTGAAAGAGATGGATGAAGACCAGGAAACGATCCTTTCTATGTTGAAAGCAATAGATGAAGTCATTCTTTCAGTTTGTGATAAAATAAGACCTAACATAAAAGATCAAGATGCCAGCTTAAATACACAAACCCAAACTTTGACTACAACCAAAGAACCAACAATGCAGAAGATAACAGAAGAAGTGGAATAATCAAATATTAAGACAGAGGACTCAATTGACCAACAAATATAGTTAATGGAAAATCCAGAAAAGGGAGTGACAGTACTGAAAATGGAAATGACTTTCTATATAAATCAGAAGAAATTTGAGCAAGAAGAAGAACAGATTGAATGGAAGACAAACATATCAGGGCAAAAATGGGGAATTGGAATAACAGGAAGACAACTTAATGAATACAAATGGGCTAATCCTTCCAAAAAAATGGCAATTAAATGGTCTCCTTTATTTCAAATAACATATATAATAATAGAGGGAGATCTATTTGATGATTTAAAAGCACTGATATGGAAGTTTAGCTGGCAAAGGAAGAAAGCCAGAATAAGGTTGAAGAAAATTGGGGTTTTGACTTATTAGAGGGGATTTCATATTATTAATTAGAGGGTTAAAGGGAGAAGTTGAGATAAGGGGAATTCTGGTCATTAGATTTAAAATATTTGGAAATTAGTTGAAAATAAGGACTTCACCTGTTTAATATTTAAAAATTAGACCTAAAAGGAAAAAGAAAATTAATTATTATGAATGTTTGATTTATTGATTAACCCAGGTAATATACATAATGATTTTGATTTATTAAAGGGGATATTGTATTATTAAGTAGATGATTTAATATGGTGGGAAATAGATAACTCTTAGGAAATAGAATAAGATAAAATGAGTATTTTAGATATTATATTTTGTTATGAACTGAGACAAGGTAAATCTTAATAACAGGATATGGATTGTTTATGAAGATTGAATGTAATTAAGATATGTATAAGCTAAAAATTTATTGATAAATGTAATAATGATGTTTTTACTAAGTTGATATAATAAGAACTGTACTAGCTTGAATACGAGACAGTAAATCTTAAGGGAAAAAGAGAAGAAATATCTGATGTTGTAACCTGAGATTTGTACTAAAGATTTTGTTATTGAACTATGGATTAACCTAGTCACCACGTTGCTTTTTAAATACTTACATGTAAAATTGAAAAATTAATAAAATATTATTTAAAAAAAACAAAATCACTATTGGTCAATTGCAAAAGGCAACTTTACTTGGAACAGCTTACATCCTGTGACAATACCCTTAACAGCATCAAACATCAATATCTGCTTTTCCCAGATCCTTGGGAAGGACTTCAAATGTGGACAAAACTGCCAAATCCAGTTTGAACATCTGGTTGACTATGTGATAAACTATAGTAATAATAATAGCTCCCCAATAAATGGGCCCAGGACTAGGTAGTTAAACAGAACAAGCTTCAAGCAGCAGCCCTAAATGTCTCATTAGTCTAGCCCTGTCTGCAGCAATGAGTGTCATTCCTAGGCATGCTATCTTATATACCCAAAAACTGAAATATGTACTTTCCTTTTGCTTAGGTTCTATTATCCATTCAAACCCTAAGCATTCATAGGCAAGTATTTGAGGAGTCATGTTATGAGTTGAATGAATTATCATTATGAAATATATTTGTGTGCCATCACTAATCAGCTCTAAATCAATTGATGTTCCCTTCCTATGTTATTACAGGTTGAGAGAGTCATATAAAATGTATCAGCTAGTCAATCAATCACTCAATATTATCTTTCATTTCCCTCCAGCCTTATTGTTGATAATTTTCTTCATAAGAATTGCATGTAATGTCAGCAGAGTTAATTTCTGTACATAGTGAATAGAATGAATCTGCATATTTGATCCAACTACCTTTCCTTTCTCTCCACATAATTTTAGAAAACTTGGAGAGAATATTTTTTCTTATGTAGAATCACAGTCGGAAAGGATCTATGAGGTCACCTAGTCTGAGATCTTGCTCAAAGCAGGAACTGCTGACGCATGTCAGACAGACATCTACCCAGACTAAGGAGAACCTGTGAAGGAAATCATACCTGAACTAATCCCTATTTCCACTGATATATGCTCTTCCCAAAAGAAAACTCCTTCTTATATTTCATCTGAATCAGATTCCTTGCATTTTCAACCCAGTGGTTCTTCTCCTGCCTCTGAGAGAAATAGAAAACAAGCCCAATTCCTCCTCTATACAGCATCTGTCCATCTATATTCTGTACAAGGAAATCTCTGTGTTTCTCCTAACTACTTTGATTGCCCACTACCATACCAGTCATTAGAGGTCACATCGTATTTGTGGATTACGTCAATTTCAGCCTTAATGTTCACATGAAGAGACAGAGAGTTTTAAATAGCAATTAGAATAGGAACTAGTTGCTCATAAGAAAGAACAGTATGTTTTAAAATTAAATAGTAAATTAGATTTCTGTAGATGTGTGGGCATGCCAAGTTTAGTTTTCTACAAAATATTCAATATATGCCTAAACAATAAGGAGTTATTATTATTATTATAGAATATTTATGTAAATTTTGTCACTGGAAGCACAGTGAGATGGGAACTTCAGAGGGCAAATGCTTGGTTTGGGCATTGGAAAATGGACTAAAGTTATAAAGTGTCTTTTTAATGACACAGAAAACAGGAACTATTTCCAAAATTACTATAAACTGTCACAAAATGGTTATTTGCTATTAATAGCAATAGTAACAGCACTTAGATTTATATACCGCTTCACAATAGTGTACAGACCTCCCTACGTGGTTTACAGAGTCAGCATATTATCCCTCAACAATCTAGCTCAGTGGTGGTGAACCAATGGCACGTGTGACAGAGGCGGCACTTGGAGTCCTCTCTGTGGGCATGCGTGCCATCACCCCAGCCCTGCCTCCCCCCATGCCCCCTCCTCACCAGCAGCCCCCCTGGAGAAGAGTTGCTCCCAGGCACGGCCTGCATGGAGCAGCGCAGCCAAGAACATAGCCAGGCAGCAGGGACGAGACTCCATCCTTGTGCCTCATAGCTTGCAGATGATGTTGCGGGGTGTGGGTGGAGGGCGTGGCTACCATGATGCTGAAGGGCTGCCTGGGCGATCTGCTGCAGTGGGCGATGGAGGCAGTGCATGGTCATGCAGGCAGGCGGGGCAGGGGGCAGGAAGGGGCAGAGCAGGCAGGACAGGAGGCGGAACAGGAGCCGGGGCGGTTTTTGAGCACTCGGTCTCTAAAAGGTTTGCCATCACTGATCTAACTCCTCATTTTACTGACCTCAGAAGGATGAAAGGAGGAATCAACCTTGAGGCAGTAAGAATCAAACTGCCAAATTGCTGGCAGCCAGCAGTCAGCAGAAATAGCCTGCAGTACTGCATTCTAACCCCTGCACCACCATGGCTTTTATTATATTAAGTTGCCAAATGGTAACTCCTTCCTCTGTAAGACAGGAGAGCACAGGACCAGGTGGTCCTCCTCTCCTCTTTTGGGTGGTCCTCTCTCCCCGATTTAGCCATCCCTCATAGGTGAGGGTTTAC